AATCAAACCCATATTTATTTCTACGTTATCAAATTCACAATTTTAATTGGTCAATCAACAAATTGCATGGGTTAAAATTTTGTGTTCCTTCTGTTAATTTTTGTGTTCCCAGAACAGTCTCTTCTGTTCTTCTGAGCATAACTTTCAAATTTAAAAAAAGAAAATTTGAGACAAATTTTTTAGATTAATAGACTCCATTTTAAAGCTGAATTGAATGGTGGTGAGTTTTTTAAAATCCAATGTGTGGATCACATAATATTTCAAAAATTTCAACTTTTGAGTATAGGTGATCCGCAAAAATTACCAATAGTGGCCAAAATTATATCCAAAATTATTTAAATTCTTTGATTCAATAACCAAAACTCTGGGTGGTTTTTTTTATGACCATTAATATAGGGAATATGGAAAAGCCAGAATATTGCCAAAATATTTGGCAAATGCAAAACCAATTTTTGGCTAACATGTATATTATTATAAGATCTTGTTTATTATTATAAGAACTTTTATAATTTTTTTTGCATTATTGTTTTTTTTAACTTTTGTTATATTAATAATGATTAGACAATACAGTCAGACTTAAGGTTGTGGGTGAAACCTCTTAATGACTGTCGAAACTCTGTCGAAACTCTAATGAACAATTAATGTGTAACCTGTCGAAACTCTGATGATTGGCGAAAACCCCAAATGCGAAACTCTGCCAAAACTCTAATAAACAATTAATGTGTAACCTGTCGAAACTCTGTCGATTGATTTCTGGAGGAGTTTCTCCCGCAACCTTAGTCAGACTTTGTCACAGTGGACCTCGCCACAATTAAATTCTTGTCATAGTGGATTTTTAAAATTCTTGCTTCACATATCAATAATGCACCCCAACCAATCCGTGCATTGTCGTCACAGTCATCATTTAAGATAAATATAAAGATAATAATATAAAGCTATAATTAAAAAAACCGTTCTAATACTAAAATATAATTTATAAATGATTAAGGTAATGCACCTCATCCAATCCGTGGTAAAATTAATGTTAACTAATTATATCTAACACCCCAACCGTTGATACCGAACCCTCGAAAATTTATTAGTATTGATGAAACAGGAATAAATCAACAACAAGAAGAGCATTCATCATTGTTTCCTAATAATGAGCTGCGTGTCACATATCAGTTTAAATTTTAGAAAAAAATAAGAAAGTATAAATGGTTTAAATAGTTGTCATATAATTTTAGGCTCACGCTTACACAGATCAAAGACAAAGAAAACATTAAATTTTTTTATTGTTATTGCAAATTGTTTAACCCGTTTCTATTAAACATCTCAACTGGTTGACAGCGATATCTCCTTCTATTATTGTGGTTTGGATGTGACCGAGCTATTTGTTATTGTGAAATTCCTAGTTAACAACTTCATAATTTTTTATTTATTAACATCAACACATTAAAATTAATCACACAAATCGATTTTTTATTAATAACATCTGTGCGTGTTCCTTTCCGTCCTCCACCACGAACCTTCCCGTGGTTTGAAGTATTGTGTTGACGTCAAATGTCGATACTAAAGAACCTGGCCCATGAACCCTTTGAATATAAATCTGTCGTCCTCGATGTGGACTCGTTGCTTTCAATTGCTTTATTCGGATTTTGACATTTTTGAGGTGATCAAGATTGAACTCATTGTGAAAAAAAAATCAAATATTCTTAATCAGGAAACTATATTAATACGTTCGCATAACAGATCATTCATTTTTTTAAAAAAGTTTTTTGGTTTAAGGCGAGTTGTGATAATAGTGGATTAAAAAAACAGAAATATTATCAATTATTCGTTCCATCAACATTAATACACATTTATATACAATTAACATCAATATTAGCATCCAACAAATACAAAAATCCAACGAATCCAATAAATCCGCTGAAAAAACAATGCTTCATCTGGGTAACAAATAGACCAGCGCTAGAAAGAAAAAAAGAATAATAATAAGTAAAAACCATACATATTATTAAATTGAGAATTTCAACCAGTACAATTTTGAGCCACGGTTTGGATACAATAATAATAGGCAACCGATAATCGATCATCTACAACATTGATGTGGGTAATAGCAAGCTTACTGCTATAGTTACACATCTAATCCGAACCCATCTTTAATTTTTTTGATTATTCTCTAGAAAAAGAATGGATCAAAATCCAAAAAGCATTTTCAATTGAAATTTTAACCCCCAAAATTACGCTTTAAAAAAATGAACTCAATTCTCTATGCTCAATATTCAATGTTCATCATTAATCAACCTTCAATATTGGATATTGAGTGAGTATTGAGTATTCCTATACAACGCTTTGCAAAATCCTTTAAACATTTATTGATTTTTTTTTATTGATGATCATACAGTTTTTTCCCAAGATAGATAATTATATTGAGAATGAAAATCAGGTGGAAAAAAAGCATGAAAAAACATGTCTTCAAATCATGAATATATGAATCAATTGATTCTGACACAAGATCGTCTTGCACTTCTCTTAATTGTATTTATTTTATAAATTATGTGTAATTAATCCTTGTGATTACAAAATGTCAATTGATAAATGGTTTAATTGAGGGTTCTAACCTTTCGAGAGGTTTGGCTGTTTTTATTATCATGAAAGATATTTAAAATAACCAATCAAATTCAATATAGCCTCAATTATTATTGGTTATTAGGTCATTAGAAGATTTACAATAGCATGACAAACTTGCATCGTTAACTCGTATTTGGGCTTTAATTGGAAAGTTGATAATGATTTGATAAATTTTATTCTTAGAACAACAATAACAAAATAAAACACACTAGTTTTTAGACCAGCTTCCCTCCTGATATCTGTCGCAAGCTTCCCAAGCCCATAATATAGCAGACACAAATAATCTGATGGAAAAATAATCAAAGATTCTTTCTTGAAAATTTACAAGATATGTTACAACGAACAATTCTAAAAGTAATAATATCAACTTTACATGTGGTTGAAACAATAAATTTTGGCTTTTGGTGAATCCACATTATTCTTGAATATACTGTAGGTAGGTGCTTCTACAAATAATGAAATTGATGTAAATTTTGCTGATAGTATTTTGAGAAGAAAGAATCTCCAACAATTGGAAGTTTGGTGAATCTTCTTCTATTACTTTAATTAAAATATTAAAATATCAAAAATATCTTGAAAGACAATACAAAGAAAAGTATGGAGATGGTGATGATGATAATGATAGTAAGAATAAAAATAAGAATCAGAATGAGATAGTATTTATAAAAAAATGATTTAAATTATTAAGTCATTAAATAAATCATTTAATAATAAAATTATTCAATCATTTAAAAATTATTTATACAAAAAAAAAAATTACATTTATATATATTTATATATGCTTACGCACTTGAGCATATATATTCATTATTCAACTTTGTTCTTTCCTTCTTTTTCTAATCCAAAAAATTCTTTTAATGATGAAACCACAATTTCATGATTTTCAAGGCATGAATATCCACTGACTGTGACTGATCCAACTACACCAACTCCTTTAATAATTAACGGGAATGCTCCTCCGCTAATTAAATAGTCTTTTTTATTAATATTGAAATCATCATCATCTTCAGTAGCAATTTTCTTGGTTTGTTTTAAAGACTCTTTTACATATAATGATGAGTGATGATAATCATTTACAACATTGGCTTTTCTTCTTGATGATTCCACGTCAATAGGTTTTGTTCCAGGCATTGAATAGTGAAATAGAAGATGTTGATTCATCATGATAGAAATTACAACCGAAAGTCCTTTTTGTTGTGCGGTTTTTAAAATTAATAAGCCCAATTCTAATGCTACTGAATTGTCAAATGTTAAAAATTGAAAATCTTGTTCTAGTTGAAATAATTGTGCCACTGTGTGAGCTCCAATGTCTATTGTTGACATTTTTATTTATTTCTTTTTTGGAGGAAAAAAAAAAAATTGCAAAAAATATATTTGGGTAACCTTTTTTTTATAGTTATTTATCACATGATAAATGTAAATATTTTTACAGAGAAAAGAAAATGACGTATCGATCGTTTGTTTATAATAATCATATAAATATTTTCTTCAATCATTTATTAAAGCCAAATAAAAAGATGAGATTTTTTTCATCAAAATCAAAAGACAATAACAATAATAACATTTGTTATAATATCGTAAGTAAAGTAAATATATAATAGTGGTATATGGAAGAATGAAAGTGTGAATAAAAATTAATTTATTGTTTCTTTTATAATGATAGGAGGGATTTTTGACTTGTAGTTATTTTAAAGCAGCAGTAGATTTGGGTAATAAAATTCAAAAACCAAATATAAAAATAAAGGTTGAAGGAACTGAAAAGAATCAGGCAAGAGAAGTGGTTTTTTTTAATTATTATATAATTAAAATTTTGAAAATTATTAAAAATTTTTCCAATTAAAAATAAATATAAATAGTGGAAAGATAGAGTAAAAACGTTACAATCTGTAAGTTGTTTTTATTTTTATTATTATTAAATGTTATTATTATTGTGATATTTATAATTATATATATATTTTAGATAATACCAAATGCACAAAATCACAATACTTCACCTTTAGTTTATGAGGGATGTAAATCAAATGATTATAAATTTATTGGTGGATATTCTGATTTTTCTAAATTGGTTGAGAGCAGACATAAATTAGATAATGTTTCAACATCTTCATCATTAAATATTAAAGATGATGTTAATGGATGCGAAGATGGTGTTTGTAAATTATCAACCAACAAATAATAATCATAATCATAATCATAATCATAATAATTCAAAAAAGATAATAAAAAATAAAAAAAGCTATAAATATTTTAAAACTTTCGACTCTTCAATTTGGTTATCATTTAATATATAAGCCTTTTTGCCTAATAAGAATATTATATCATATCTCTTCTTTTTTTGTTGTTATAGATGTTGATGGTGATTTATTGTCTTTATTGTCGTGGGCACTTCATATATCACATTTGTATTTTCCATTCCAATCAAATAGATTATGGTCACCAACTATCCATGTTCATTTTTAATGTTGTATTTAACGTATATTTATTCATTCAACTTTTAAATTTATAAAGTTTTCTAGTACATATATGAGGTGCACATATTTGATAGACTTTAATATCAAACACCTTTAAAGGAAAACTGTTTGATTTAGCATCATCCAACATGGATCTTCTTAACCCAGCTAGTCGTAATTATTGACACTTAATAAAATCACAATTGAGTTTATCAAAAATAATTAATGTTTATTTTGATTCAATTCCATATGAAATCACCAAAGAAGGTGAGATCAAGTCTGATTTATCATGGTGACATTATTACATGTTATATCGGATCCTTCAAAGTTACATATCTTCAAAAATCATACGAGTTAATAATTGTATTAATAATGATCATAATACTGGAAGGAACAGTAGTGATAATTATTTGTGAATTAGATGAAGAATATGAATTAGCGATTAATAAATAACACAATAGCCAACAAAAATCAACAATTTACAAGAAAAAAAATGGTATCAATTTGAACATTGAAAGTTGTGTAAACGAGAAAATCATGTGATAAAAAGGCACCAAATAAATAGATATTACTATAATCACCAAATAAATCTCTAATAAAAAAGATCGCCAATCGATTTTGTCACATGTGACAAATCCAAATGTCCGTATACTATGTTGTACAAACAAACTAATGAATATAATTTTTTAACAAAAAAAAAAAAAAAATGTCAAGTGCAATACGTTTAGAGAATGCTGCAAATGAGTTTCGAAAAATCCAACAAGGTATTTTTATTACTGATTGATAAATTTCAAAAGTTTACTTGATTTTCTAATTTGTTGTAAATATTTAGACTTGTCAAATGTCATAGAAGGAAGACAGCGTTTAGATTCACAATTACGAGAAAATGAAATTGTTCAAAAAGTATATTGATTGAATTGAATTTAATTATCTTTTAATTTTCAAAAAGTAAATTAAACTTTTTTATGAGATCTTTAGGAATTTCAACTATTAAAAGAAGATTCAAATATATTTAAACTTATTGGACCAGTATTAGTGAAACAGGATAAAGCTGAAGCTGTTCAAAATGTGAATAAACGATTGGAATATATTCGATCTGAAATGTTTGTAATTAAGAAGAGAATAGATCTTTATAATAATAATAATAATAATAATTCATTAGTATTATTATTATATTACTTATGATTAATTAATTGATTATAATATTTCAGAAAACGTATGGAAAAACAAATTGAAGATTTAACACAAAAATCAGAAAAGAAAAAACTTGAAGTTGTTGAACTTCAAAATAATAAATCGTAAAGTTCAAACAAGGTTGATTGTTTATTATGTGAATAATTTAAAACTGAAATTGTAAGATCTGTGCTATTAAAATGTTTCATATATGCTTGAATCCCACTGGTGACAATTAACCTCAAAATTTTGTTAATATGTCAATTATTTGTTTTGATTCTAAATTTTCTAATAGGAAGAATTGATTACCAGAGAACATAGTGACAATCCAATTGATCTCCACAATTCATGTCAGGATCCTGATATTCTTTTAATCCTTCCCAGTTTTTTTGTAAAGATGAACATGAAGTTTCTTTCTGTTACAAAATTAAGAGAATAAAGTGGGTCCGCGCTTTTATTTAATATCATCTAAAAATGTAATATGATAAAGGAATGTCCAATAATGTGGTGACACTGCTATGAGGTGATCTAGGATATGCATCTATTGAATTTCATCTGATTACATGCTATGCAACATGTGAAGCATCCATAACTACAAACATTTTAATATTTTTTATTTTTTATTAAATATGTTCTGTCAGTGACATTTGATCTTGGGCATCTAAATAAAATTAATGATCATCCAAAATAATTTGGACCAACTAAATTTCTACTGTTAGATAGAATGTCTCCTCTTTTCTGAACTTTCATAGATTTCTTCAACTCTATCTATCTATCTAAACTTAGTGTTAAGTACTTACTGAGATAATTTTTTTCGAAGCTCTACTGTGATGTTTTGATTTTGCTATGGAAATTCAAATAATAATTATAATTCCATCTTTTTAAAAATTATTGGCAAAGTAATCATTTAAACTTTCCTGAGATTATTTTTCATATAATATCACAATCATATCGATAATAATCCATGATGCTATTGTCATTATTATCCTCATCAAATTAGGCACATCATGCTGTTACGCCTAATTATATTAGAATTTTACACATTGCAAGTAACAAAGATTTTTATGGGGTTGTTCTTCTACAGCAAGAAGATATGATGGTACCTCATTTGGTACTGTCATTTGATCAAATCTAAAGTTATTAGCCGTAACTACTTTGATTTCTCCAAATTGGAATTGTTCCCCATTTCTATTTTTTACAATTATAATGTGCGATACATTCAGAGTTTACATACTCTCTCTTTTTAGCTTGACAATGCTAGTCCAGACAAAGAGGTGCTTACATTTTGGTTTTTCTTATACTACGAAATTGCTTTAATTGCTTTCAATTTTTTTAAAGTTAATTATATAAAAATTATTTGGCTTTGTGCTTTAACATTATTATAATGTTCTATATTAAATGCACTTCTCTGCATATTGAATGTGTATGCAAAAATCGCATTACATCTGTTTTCAAAGCTCGTTTAAATTCATAGGTCACAGCAAATTTATCGAGTTATGCCATTATCAAGGGTTGGTCGCTTTTTAATTTCATGATATAATGTTAGATATAAAGGATAAGATCTTTTTTATCAGCTGTGTATATCCTTTAACTCATCCAAAAATAGAAATGCATGAGAAAGAATTAAAGCCAAGACCTTTCTCTACAATTCTATGGTTTTGTTTTGTTTTGATATGTCATGACATTACCATTGAGGAATTAAGCGATACATGCAATTTTTTATGAAAGCAAATTTTTAAAGGTAACTTACATAATTAATAAACAAGTTATCACATGAACTATATATAATATACTGAATAATGTTGGTTAACAAAAACCAGGTGATTGAGCTTATTGAAATTTTGAAAAAATCAAGTGAAAATATCCTTTTATTATAACAAACTTGTGTGATTTTGAGGCTTAATTCCTCTATGGTAATGTCACTGTCACTAATGCTAGCTTTTATGCAATAATGTTCTTGTACACGTGATGAAATCATATGACTTTGTAGATTCACCTTGTGACTTTTCTCACAAGCTCCATAATTGTAATAATGCAAAAAAAGAAAATTTTACTTTAGTCTTTTTAAAATGAGTACACAGTGGGTCTCGATTTAACGGACCTCGATTTAGCGGATTTAGGGTTTAACAGATAAATTTTCAAAACCAAATTTTTCTATAATTATTTTATCTCGATTTAATGGATTTAATGGATTTTCATATATATTCGATTTAGCGGATATTTTTTAAAAATCCATTTGTCACTTATAATAATAATAATAATAAATTCGGTTCACCGGATATTTCTTAAAAATTCATATATGTCACTTATAATAAATTTTTCTCGATATATATTACGATAACGATGATCTTTACTATTTGGGCTAATAGTAATGACGCGCAATTATATTAATATTAAGAATGTAAAATAATTAGCAATACATCCACAATTTAATCTAACATATTTCTAGCTATTTCTCGGCAATGAAATCATCGATATGTCATTTCCTTTTATTTCTTTATATGCTAAAATCGTAAATATTGTAAAAGGACAAAGTGAAGTTGATGACGATGAAACAAATAAACTTGAGCTGATGATCATTAATATGGAAGCTATAAAAGCTCCGGAAACTATACTTAAATATGTACAGCAAAAAATTTTAGATATTGATTTTCAAGTAATTAGAAATGTCAAAAGATTAAAAAGTGAAATTTCTTACAAAAATTCTCAAGAACAAGTGCGAACAAGAATGGAAGATTATTATAATGTCAACATTTTAAGTGAATGAATTGTTTTTTTTTTTTTGATTTTTTACGTAACATGTATCACATTATTTAATCAAAAATCGATTTTTTACGGATATCTCGGTATTACGGAGGACTCGGTATAGCGGATAAATTTCCTGGAACAAACATATCCGTTATACCGAGACTCACCGTGTATTATCATTTCAATATTTCTTCAGCACAAGAATATAACAACTTTTGTGAGTAAGGATTGCATAAATTAGTATATCTTGAAACTTCTGATCCATATAAAAAGAATGAATGTATGAAGCAAATAAAATATGAAATTATTGCAAAGCAGTACATGTTTATATAGAATATTCAAATACAATAATGGTACTTTCCTTGTTTTTTGTTCTTAATCCCTCTAATCAATTTTACTATGATTTTTGCTGGCCCACCTGACATTCCCCATCTTTTAAGATCTTCTTGACTTATCTCTAGGAGTGCAGAACCAAAGACCCTTTCTTTTTTAATTATATTGATGACTTCATTATAAAGAAATAGCTCATCTTTTTTAGATTCCAGAGATGAATAAAATCAGTTCGGGTATCTTAAATGGAGCTGGCAATGTCAATATGTATAGCAATCAATTAGCTTATTTTTACCGGGAAAAAATGTAAGATATATCTGATCGATAAAAATGTGAAACTTTTTATTGACTGAGGTTATGTAAATTCGCGATTACCTCATTCTAAGATAATATAGAAGTTTTTTGAGTTATATATGATGTAATAATTTAGGTATATAAAGTGTCATTACTCTGTAATAATTTTCATTTTCAACTACTTACCTGTAAAGTCATCAGTGTAATATAATTAGAATTGTTGGTTTATTTCATTTTATACATTCACCTAAAATAATACATAATACAGATTTCTAACATTGTATTTAAAATGAATCTATGGTTGAATTATTGTTGTACGAGGTATTGTTACTATACTCCTATTGTATATTAATGATAATTTTTATTGTACATAATAATAACATTGTGTCAATTTTATTTGTCTTCTTCAAAAAGTAGATCTAGAATCATTGTTATGCGACCATCAAAAAAAATCAACATCAATTAACTGATGGTAATAGGTAAGGATACTACTGCTATGAATGATAATTCTTATTGTATATAATAATAACATTATGAGATCTATGGTTAAACGAATCATTGCTACGCGTACTACTTATTGTATATAATAATAACATTGTGTGATATATGGTTAAACGAATTATTGATACGCGTACTGTTAATGATAAGTCTTATTGTATATAGAAATAAACATTACAGTTATAAAGTCTACGTTAAAAAAATTCCTGGTGTTGCTTGTGTGTTGAGTGATTGCTTTTATAGGTGAAACTTCATTATGAAAAAAAAGAAAAGGAAATTTTTTCAACATTTCTTCATAAATTTCAACGTTTTACTTTTTTGATTAGATTATATAGTATTAAAAATACGTAAATATAAAATAAAATGAGTTATTATAACCTATAATCCTTTTTCTAGTCATATTTTTATTATTTTACAACCTGATCCTCGCATATTAGAATTTTTCTTTATCAATTCTATTTTTTCTTTGTGGTCCTTGTGGTGATAATAATAACAGTAGTAGCAAAAGTAATCAATATTTCTTATCTTCTTTTCTTTAGTCAATTAATAATAATAGTTGTAGCAATTGGATTGTCCTTTGTAGTGATAATAATAATAGCAATTTCAATCTTTTCTACTAGAAAATAGTCATAGCTGATAGCAAAATTTTTATTCGAATAAGAATTATTTGTTTATTCGCTATAATTTTGAGTGTTCAAACATTTCACTTTGAATAAAACGCATAACTTGGATGAAACGAATAACTTGAATGAAATGAATAACGAATGAAATGAATAACGAATGAAACGAATAACTTGAATGAAATGAATAACGAATAAAATGAACAATAAATAATGATAAAATGAATAATTTGAATAAACTGAATAATATAACAATTGAGTTGTATTCATAAGTCTCATCTAAAAGGAAAAACGTAAAGATTGTTGTTTGGTATATGGATTTATTTCTATATGTATTCTAATTAGATCAACGACAATAAAGTTGGTAACACCAAGATTGATAGGTTAAACGGTTAACCGTGTGCTAACCTCTATTTTAATGGAAATATAATACTTTTTTGAATAATAAAAATAAAAAATGGTCTAAAATCATTTTTTGTGCATATACAGATAATCAGTGGATTATAATAATCAGCAAATAATTGGGTGTTTGCGACTATTGATTGACAAGATTTTAATTTGACTGTTTATTCAATTATCAAAACTTTGATTCAACTGATTATCAAGGTGGTCCATTAACTATTTGCTTAGTTTCTATTAAATTATAAAATATGTCATATAATAATAAATTCTATAATAATTATTGGCATACTTTGATAAACTCTTTATAATTTAATTAGCATTTATACACACCCAGTTACTCTTAATTAGTGTTTCCATATAGTTTTACTATGTTTTAATTAGTAATCTGAAAATAGAGATGACTTTAAAGTTGTAATAACTCTAGAAAGAATAAAATAAATTTTTTATGGTTTTTGTATTAAATTAAAGTTCGAAACAAAGATATAAAATTTGTGCAATTTTATTTATGTTTATGTTTCTTTGATTTATCTGATATTAAAATTAGCCATTGTAAAATTCGTGTATGTACACTCTAGGAATATATGGTTAGGTCGGTCCGTTAAGTCCATTGATGCTAAATATGGTTAATATTGACATATTACGCTAATAAACTGTAGTTAGAAGTGATCACCACGTAATCCTGGTCCATTGGACAATCACTGAATCACAGCCAACCCTGGATTAGGAACCTTTCGACCAAACTTTGAGTTTTTGCATTATATATCTTTAATATAGGATTATAATTGGTAAAAAAATCGGACCATAATTGTTTAGCGTAATCGAAAATTTATATTAATATCCATATTTTCTAACTATATTTGTTCTTCATTGTATTTTTTTTTGGAAGAGAAATCATTTATAACATATTTATATTTATAGTTTTCACTTTTCCCACTGTAAAGAGAGTCGTTATAGCTATTTATGTTCACTCACTATAAATAAATAAATAAATAAATAATAATAATAATAATAATAATAATAATAATAATAATAATAATAATAATAAAGTCACCGGCTGTATTTATATCAAGTTTTAACTTTAAAAAATCATAGATATAATACGTTCTCTCATTCATAACCATGAATATTTTCCTTCAGTATAGTCGGTACGAACCTAGCTTATAAACGAACCATTAGATTTTTATTTATTGAACGTAGCATGTGGGTTATTCAGTAATAATATTTAAAATTATTATTGGGAGATACGCACAAAATGAATACCTTTTTGTACAAAAATATAAAACATGATTTTTGATAGGAATGCATTGATCAAAATAATATGTATGATTTGTTAATTTTAAAGTTGCACTAATAATTAACAATGCTGTCATCCAAAATTGAAAATTTTCAATGATGCACACAGGTTTCCGTTTGATTCTAGATCATCGTTCTGCCTTTGTATTTTTATTGTCTTCTATGTTTTCGGATGATGGAACAAAGCTAAATATTAGCCTTATAGTCAAACAAATGAAAAGAATCATTGCCAAATATGTTCATAATTAACTTTTATAAAAATGCAGTGTAAAAGAATAAAGAAAATATTAATTAATATTAAATATTAATTAACTAATTATTTCTAGGATGTTAATGTTAATATTGATATTGATATAAATACTACACTAACATACATTGAGATAAATATTTTTTTTTCTTAAAAAACCCCAAAATTAATAATTAAATAAATTAAAAACAACATTTTATTCTTAATTAATAATATATTAAAAATGGCAAAAACCTTGGTCCTTGAAACAAAAAATTTAAATGATCAATCTTATTTATTTGCTTCGCCAATTACCTTAACGAACAACAAAGATGATTTGATAAATACAATTAATATCAACAACAGCAACAACAACAACAACAACAACAATAGTATTGACGATAATAATAATAGTATTAATAATATTGGCACTAATAATGATAATAATATTAGCAACAAGATCCAAGAAACAAAAAGCACAATCGAGAAATTATTAAAAATTTATGAAGAAACATTAACCACTGAAATCAAGATTTTGGAATCAAGTAAAGATTTGATAAAAGGGATTGGAAAAAACAAAAATTTTAGTGACGAAATTTTTAATAATTGTCTGTGTAACATAGCAAAAATTCTAGAGGACAATAAGAAAAAACCAGGAATTAAAGAAGAAATTACAACATTAAATGATGAATTGTCCAAATTACTTCGAGCGAAAGATGAGAAAGAAGTAGAAGAAAAAGCAGAAGAAACACAGGCAGTAGATATCAACATTGATGATAGCGACAGTAATACTAAAACATGGGATAAAAAAATTAAAAGAAAAATTAGAATGTTCTCAAAAATAATCACAATTCATAAATCACCAACTTCTTTAAAATCATTTGATAGTGACGAGATTGAATATGATGAATTAACAGATGTCCACCCACCAATCACTCGGGGTAGTAAAGATCATGTAAAACAAAAAATGTATCTAGGGATAAGAAACATTGCAGAAAAATTAATTTCTTCTAGTAAACCATCACATAATGGACCAGAATTTATTAAATTAAAAGAAGAAATTGTATTTTTGAAAAAACTTTCAAAATGTTATCACATTTTAGACGTGTAAGTTTTCTTTATATTTTTTATATTCTTTAATTTATATTATATATATCATATTATTATATATTAATAAGTAATAAATTATATAGTCATGGGTATTCTCAAAGTCCAGCAGGATTCTTTCTTATATCACAATGGGGAGATTATAACCTTCGTACTATACTCACTGAAGAGCCTGAACGTCTTAATTGGTCGGAAAAAGTATCCATTTCTTATGGAATAGCAGATGCAATCAAATTTTGTCATGATCAAGATATTTTGCACTATGATTTACGAAGGTATTTTTATTTTTATTTATTATTCATTATTAATTAATGATAAATTAATTGATGACTCAAATTTTTTTTCTTATTCCTTCTTCTTCTTCAGTGATAATATATTTTTGACTTTGAATCTTCAACCGAAACTTTATAACTTTTGTACAGAAAAAGAATCTCCATTATTATTAAAGTCAGCTAGTGATCCGATTGATGATGAAAGATGGTCTGCACCCGAAAGACTTAACGGTGAAGAATATACAAAAGCCAGCGAAATTTATAGGTAACTAAAAATAATTTTTTGAATTGGTTTTTATTTTTTTTAAAAAAAAAATTTTTGCAATTAATAAAATTTTACTATGATCGTTATTATATAAAATAGTTTTGCGATTATTTTATGGGAAATTGCAACAAACAAATTGCCATATAAAAATATCTCAAATGAAGAATTAAAAACAAAAATAATCAATGGTGAAAAGCCGACACCAAAATCAGTTCCAGGGACACCAAAGAATTATCAACAAGTGATAGAACGTGGATGGTGCGATAGACCAAATGATAGATCAACCATCGAAGAAATGGTTGTTATACTTGATAAATTGAGTTTTGATTATATAGCAGGAAAAAAAGTTGATACGATTGGTGATGATAAAGTTGGCTTATTATCACTGATGGATAATTCGGATGCGAGATCTATAAACGATGCATCATCAATATTGGAGTTAGACAATGAATATTATACGCCTGTTGATTTACCGGATACCGATGATCAACAACATAAACAGATGTTAATAAAATTGGAACAATTAAATCCGTTCAACAAAAAGAATCACGATATTCAAAAGGCGATTCAACTTCACGAGGAAAAATCTTACAAAAAAGCATGGAAGATTTTCAGTGATTTAGAAAAAAAGAATTCTACACCTGAATCAAAATTTTGGGTAGGATTTTACTATTATAAGGGATATTACGAAGGTGCAAATGGGAAAGCAAACTCCAAAGAAGCTATGAAGTATTTATCCGAAGCTGCAAAACTTGATCATGTAGATGCACAATATTGGTATGCAACTGTGATATTAAATAATGGTTTGGCATCGAAAGAACATGATAATGTTAGATATAAAGTAGCATTAGATTATTTAAGGCAAGCTTCTAAATTAGAACATCCTTTGGCATTAAGAAAGTTGGGAAGAATTATTCAGAAAGGTGAATATGGCGTGAAATTGGATCGTAGTATAGGCAAAGGTATGGTTGAAAGAAGTAAAAGTTTCTCCGGTAATATTAATAATAATAAAGAAAACGAAAGGCCACAAATAAATAGAACTAGTACTATCATATTTTAATAATTAAACTATATTTATTTATTTGAAATAATTATTTGATTTTGTATTATTTTTCTTATTGTACATTTTTTATAGCATTTACACTGTAGAACTCATTTGATGAGTATTTTTTAAATAAATATTGAAATACCTATGGTTACAAATGAGCAAGAAGACAAGGTCACAAAAAGTCTAACTTGGAGTTGCAGAAGGTACCCAAGGAATTGAATTCGAGACAGCGGGAGAGATATAACAGTCGAACGACAGCGCGAAATCGGGTTTTTTTGGAAAGGAACATAAACATGGGGTATGCTTGCTTGGAAGATAGATGTTCGCAATTGATCTTTTTTACTAAAACTATATTAGTTCTTTCCCAAGTAGGAACTTGCAATTAATTCATTTGTCGCTACGGTCTGTATGCTTGTCACCATTGCCATCAATGCATAGCATTGATAATTGTGAGGAATGTTCGTTCTTTCGCCAACTATCACAGTCACCTGGTAGGAGTCGGTGTATTGGTTTATAGTATTTTACTTTGGTATTTGAATGATGAGTTCACATTCCGATTTTTGTTATTCTATTTGGTTTTTTTACCAGTTAACTTTCGTACCAATTTCCACAAGAAATCCTCGATCTTTATACGATTCTTGATTGTGCTAGACGAGTATTTGATTGATCATTATAAAAAAACTTCTATTTGCGTAATAGATAGATGGTTTTATCTTGACCTTTGGAACACATTTCTGCCGTGTTTGTTCTTTATCAAGTGTTGTTGGAGGAGCCATGGATACAAAAGAAGGAATCAAAGGTCATAGTCTGCGCGGGACAATTAACCTCAGTGTTAGAGAAATGTCGATTAAATAAAAATCATTTCATATTTAAAATTATCTGAGCTCAAATTCAGCATGCAATCCAACTTGTTATCGTATTTTCCCATCCTTTCTGTTGAATGATTCTCAATATCGTCTTTCTCTATGTTTAATGGTAATGCATTCTCAGAATGTTAAGTTAGAATAGATAAATAAATTTTAAACTTGACCTACATTCAATTAATCTATTTCGTCTAGAAAACCCATCGAACTGAATAGCCTATCTGCTAAAGCAGAATTGATGCAGATTAGAAAAATACGCAATGCCCATGAAAATAATTATTGGATGATCCTTGATATTCAATGCTTTTAGTTAGAATCATTTTCTAATTCTATTGAAGGTTTTCTTTATAAATAATATATATCCATTGACCTAAAACAGTTAAATCAACGACACTATGTTGTGCTGGTGGAGTAAAAAGGGAAAAGGCTGTTCTAATAGACTCTTCGTTTTTTCTGATTTGGTAATCATAATAGTCTTGAAATTTTCATGATTTAACTTTGACGGCTATTATACGTCATGATCGCCACACACGAGCAACTTCTCCAAAGACTGTTAATGGAACAGATAAAAAGAAAATTCGTCAAATTTTACCCACATTTAATTATAAATTTAATAATTCCTGGGTAGCTCCATATGCAATAATTTTGGATTAAAATCATACAAATATTTTATTTGCCACATGATGCGAGCATGTGTTAAACCGTCAATATAAAATAAAAAACAAATAAAATATAAATAAAAAATACAAGTAAAATAAATAAAATATAATATTATTATCGTTGATTTGTTTAATCATCGTAAACATTTATTTTTAAGCTTTTAAGTTTATCGATTGATTTGTCATGACCTTTCAAAGCAGCTTTTTTATAATTCATTATTGCTTGTTTTTGATTTCTTGGTAAACCTAATTTACCTTCATAATAGATATTTCCCAAATTATATAAAGCGGCTTGATTTTCGTGGAAAGCAGCTTTTTCCAAATATTTCAAAAATTCAGCAGCTTTCAAAGGATCGCCAACCTTACTTATTATAGAGAATGCATAGCGAACCTGGGCATCAGATATGTCTTGGTCTGCGGCTTCTTTGAAACATTTAGATGCCTCTCGTAGATCTTTCGGAACTCCACCGTACCCCTCCAACAAATAATAACCCTTCCAATATATTGCTCTAGGATCCTTCAATGTCTCAGCATGATATTTGAAACATTCCCATGCCATTTTTCTTGATGTTAGACTTTTATCTTTGTGTAATTTTATACCATCTTCTAATGTCATTGTTACTTGTTCAATATCGTCTAAATTCAATGTATCTAATGAAAGATCATCATCATCAAGTTCAAGAAGAATTTCTCTACCAAGGCTACTATTAATACTACTGTTGCTGGAACTTCTACATCTAGGCGGAATCTTTGGTGAATAATGGTTTCTGTATAAGCAAGTTAATTGATTAAGAAAAAAAGGCATGTTTTGACGTAATGATGGTTCCTGGTTCCAAGCTATTCAAAAAAAAAAAAAAATTTATATGAATAAATGATTTTAATAAATATGTTTTGTGTAATTCAAATCTATGTAAATTTGAAATTGTCACATAGTAAGATATTAAATTTTGGGATGTTGTTAGCCTAGCGCTTTTCATGTTACAAATACCCCACAGCGATCGCGGACGATTTCTTGTTCGTAGGAATAAAGCCTCAGCCTGGGTCTTACTGATTTCTGGATATTGGTTGGATAATTCATTCAATATCGATGGGCCGGCTGATCATATATATATATATATATATATCCGTGCATTTATATTTATCACGAACATAATAATAGTCAGACCTACTCGAAAATCGTCCGCGTTAGATGATATCCTAGCGCAAATTTTTATCCCAATGTGACAGTTTCGAATTGATAACATAAATAACAAAAAAATTTCACCTTTTACTATTATGTTTTTGAAACATTTTTGAATATCATTCAAGTGATTAAAACTTGATATATCTTCTCTTTTACCATTTTTGATATGTTGAGAAATTTTTACACAATCAGCATCAAATTTTTGCATATATGGGACTTGTTGAAATGACAGTTCCCAGACAAACATGCCAAAACTTAATAAATCAAAAATAAATCAAATCAGTTATTGATGAATTAATAATCAAATTAAAATTAATATATATAGATAGTCATTTACCTGAATATTTCACATTTTATATTGTAAGGGTAATTATCAGGATCTTTGAGTTTCTCCGGGGCCATCCAGGGTATAAGTTCATTTATAGATTTAATTTGTACACTTCTATTATTATATTCTCTGCTTAAAGTAAAATTGGCAATTTTTGCTTTTTCAACATTCTCCATAATCTTTTAATTTGTTTTTTCAAGGTGTAATTAACAAACAATTTATTATTTTTTGAATTAAAAATCTAAAATAAAATTAAAATTAATTACTCACCAAAATGTTTTCACATCTAACGTCATGATGATAAATTGTGCATTCATGTAGGAAAGAAAGCCCGGCACAAACATCATGGGCAATTTTTAATTTTTGTTTCCAAGTAATCTCGCACCTTTCATAAAGAGATTTTAAATTGCCATGTTCAGCCCATTCAAATACCATCACTTTACTAGCTCCACCGTCACTTGATAATATACCATAAAACCTTATTATATTGTTTGATAAAACTAGTTTGCTTAAAATTGCTAAAAGAGTATTAAAATTTTCTCCATTATAGACTTCATCTGTAAGTGGCTTACACGCTACTGGTTCAATCCCTTTCAATAATTTTTTAGTAATTTTTCCACGTTTTACTACCTCTTCTGGTTCTGGATCTTTTAAATCTCCAGGAGGAATTGTTTTGATGTCAAGTTGTTTGCTATCAGTATTATTCATTGATGCAAGCGTATCCATCGTTAATTTCATATCTTTTATATCATTTGTTTGACTAACTAAACTGGCTTCAATTGTTTCTAAAGTCTATTAATATTAAAATGATAATAATGATTTAGAATTAAATTAATATACAAAAATAAATAAAATAGATAAATATTTATTTATTCATTTCCATTTCTATTTACCAATGACATTTTCTTAAATTCGGTTTCGATTACACTTTCCAAGTCATCAAGTTTTTTAAATTCGTCAATATTTATTCCTAATTTTAAATCAGCAATGGCATCATCGAACCTTTTTACAAGTTGATTAACCTTCACTTTATGAGAACGAGATTTAAGATATTTCATTGCTCCACCCGATTCAGCAAGCTCATCAATAAATCTTTTGATTTCAGTTGCTGCATTTACATAACTTTGAAGGCTGTTATAGAAATTGCTACTTTTGAATTTTTCTTCCTTTTCTTTTTCTTCCCTGTGTCTATATAAATCAGACAAAGCACGTGATCCCGCTTCTAATCTATCAGATAATAACAGACATGTTTTCTTGGTATAGCGTGCATCTTCTGCTGTTTTATAAGCTTCTTTTGCAAGTCTTGCGGCACAGTCAACTAATGGTAGACAAAGTCCAATTATATCCATGAAATTAATTTTTACCAAGAAAAATGAAATTTAATGAAACTAATTGACTGGTTAATGATTCTTTTAAGCAATAAAGAGAGAAAAATTTTTCTCAATAGTTTTTTAAAAAAAATTCCTCAAAGATATAAATAGAACAGGTTTTATAGTTTTTTATTAACATCTACATGCATAAACAAAAAAAACATTAGGTAATACCATAAAAAAAGTTTCATTTACTGAATTGATGGTTGATTTTCAAATAAAGTTTCCTAAAATGTAATTTGTGTATAGAAAGGTTATTAATTGTTGAAAACTATTTTTATATATGTAAAATTTCAAATAAATGGTTTACTTTGAGACAAGACAGCTTTAGATCCGGATATAATGGCACTTTTATAAATTTATATAAATTTATTTTTTAAGAATTAATTAGATAAAAAACCTTATCATTTATTATTAATCACTATATAGTATTAAAGTTAGCAGTTATTAGACTCATGACTGGTCTTGATTTTTTCAGGCTGCAACATAACAGCAATCCAGCTTTGGATAGATTCTATTTTGGAATTGATTCTTGACTTATTTCAACATACCTTGAGATCACTTTACCTGCATAAAAAATCCTTGTAAAAGTTATTTTTTTTTTGGGAAGTTGTTCCATATCCTTTATTTTCAACTATTGATTATCTTTTAACGTCCCTCCTGTTAATCAATCATTTAACATTTGACTTAGTTGAACTGTCATATTACTGATTTTCGTTTAATGGCTTGATAATTATCTAATAAAATTTTCCAATAAATTGTAAGAAAACGATTCTGCGCAATTAATTAAATCTACCTATTACTATGTTTTTAGGCATTGATGAATTAATTCCAAGGTAAAATTGTTTTGGGTGCAAATAGAAATTTGTGGTTGAATTTGCGGAAAAAATTCTCCATTCATCCATATCAGGCAAAGATCTAGCTCTAATATAACCAACCAGTATATGTAATACCCGAAATAATTAAAACTCACAACTGTATTGTTATACTTTAGCCATTTAATTCGTGATCCCTCCAGTTAAGGAAAGAGTTTTAATTTAGTAATTGTAATCGATTTTTATTGGGTATTCGATATAAGTTGATTTAACAAATCTAATTAATGTCAATAATGTAAATCATTTATTAATATGCGGATTTTTTTATGGTTCCCTTTTTACTCTAAAAAAGGAAACGGTGTAACAAAAAACTTCAAAAATACATTATATGGGGCATGCTGCAACAAAACCAGACAAAGTGAACATTGGTATTACCAAGAATTACAGGGATCAAAATTTAGTCTTTGTAATGTGATCATAATTAACAGTTTTATAATATCCCATTTGCAGGTGATATATAGAATTACCCCTATATAAAAATAGTAATATGAAACTCATTTACATCAGATCCACCATGGAACCCAAGAATTATAGTACCATTAGAAGTATTTTAAAAAAAGAACAAGGTGAAAAAATTGCACCTTACGTTTTCAAAATAAATGATACTCAGACACTGGAAACTTATCTAAGAAAAGAAAAGATTACCTATGAAATTTATCAAGAAAGAAAAATAATAAATGTTGGAAAAAGAAAGCATCATGATGATGCATTATTACCTAATAGAAAGCAAAAATCTTTAAAAGGAAAATAACTACCATCTTCTTTGATAGTTGGAATGAATTTCAATTTATACAGAGGGTAATTTCTTCAATTACTTTTTTATTTTCAATCAAGACCATCTTTTAGTCTCTTTAACTTCAATTTGAGCAGTCAATTGACCATTCTGTTGATCTTTTAATTTCCT